TCTAAGCAACAGAGAGCTTCATGACTGAGTAAAGGTTTTGAAGTCAGCAGTGAATCAAGTGCCCACAGATTTGCAGACTTAAGCAGAACAAGAGAAGATTGATATTTTTGCATTTGCTATAGCAACTTACTCCTATAAAATAAAACTGATGATGTTTGGACCTTGAGACTACTCTCAAAGGTGTCTTAAAGTACAGGTTAATGGTGAACATTTTCCCCCAGTGGCTTCACCTCATTCCTCCCACTGGCCTTACCCCTTCTTTCCCCAGTGGAAGCATTTTCAAAAGCAAAGATATTTTTCGCTGGTGAACTTTAGAACTTGCCTTCAGGGTTAGCTTCATGTAATTTTACCACTTCCCCATCCCCACTGCATTATGTCAAGATTCAAGTTATAAATCAGCGTTTTAGACTTTGAAAGAGATTTCATGAATAATTTGAATGCACTTTGCTGAATTAATCTGAATAGCAACTGTCTGACTTGATAACTTGAGTGCCAGTGTAGTGGCTGCTGCATAGACACTATTCAATAAATGTCTGATGAAAGAAATTGGACTTTTGCGCTTTAATATTGATGATGCAATTTTGAAATGTTGCTTGTTCTGGAATACTTTGGAAGTTGAACAATAAAGTCAGCTTGGAGAGGAGATCATGATCTTTATATTGTGAATACCAGAATGTTACAGATGAAGAATATTAAAATTAGGGGTGTCCACTCCAAAACATCACCAGAGTGATAAACACCACCTACTAATTGTTAGTAGCTGCAGAGGGTAATCCTTTCAGGAGAGGACTTTTCGGTCTTCTAGTGTGAAAAGATCAGTGAAACCTCATGTAGTGATTGGGACTAGATTCAGCTGCATATAGTTTAAAAACAAGGCATGAGTGACTTCATACAAGTTTATTTTTCTCTCTAATAGAAAAGGGCTGGAGATAATTAGTCCATCCTTGATGGCTGCTGAAGCTCCAGTTATCACATGTAAAATGTGGACAAAAGGCGGAGGAATAGAAAGAGGCTCCTCTCAGTTCAGTTACCTCCTTTTGAGCAGCCTCCAAAAATCACTTAGCAAGTGTGTCATAGGCAAAAACCTAGACAAAGAAGGCTGGAAAGCATGTCTTATTCTGGATTGCAGAGTGCCCAGCTGAAAATTAGGCTTCCATTACTGCATTACTAAGGATAAAAGGAAGACTTAAGCTGACCAAAAGCAACAATCAATACAATTTCTTGGAGGGAAAAGAAAACAAATCTGTCATAGAAGCAGCTATAGCTTCTTTTTTTTTTTTTTTTTTTTCCAGACGGAGTTTTGCTCTCGTTGTCCAGGCTGGAGTGCAATGGTGCGATCTCGGCTCACTGCAACCTTCACTTCCTGGGTTCAAGCAGTTCTCCTGCCTCAGCCTCCCAAGTAGCTGAGATTACAGGCATGCGCCACCACGCCCAGCTAATTTTGTATTTTTAGTAGTGATGGGGTTTCACCATGTTGGTCAGGCTGTTCTTGAACCCCTGACCTCAGGTGATCCACCCACCTCAGCATCCCAAAGTGCTGGGATTACACGCGTGAGCCACAGCGCCCAGCCTTCAGCTATAACTTTTTGAGACACTAAAATATTTCATGTAAAATCAGTTGTAGTGTGTTGCTTAGAAAGCCAGAAAGCTATGTATATTTTATTCTGCCTTTATAAGTAAAGTTAACTTGATGTCTGGAATTTTCCCCACAGTATTTTGAGGACTATGTTAAGATAAGTATCTAAACATTTAGCACCATCTCATAGTTTAAATCTATTTGATTCAGTTCAGTTTAAGAAAGAAAGTACATAGAATATATTATTATGATGAAAATGAAAAGATTCAAAGTGTGAAGTACTTTCCCTCACAATTATCTGGAAGACGTATATTGGCTTTCTCCATGATGATTTTGTAGAACAGATGTAAACATTCTAAATGTATTGACACCTTACACAACTTAATTCTTCCTTATAGGTCCAAAGGAAATGATGTTCTCATTATTTCCCTTGAGTCAGACCCATATCCACATGGGCATAAATGTCAACTGGAGGTATATTTAATTAATAATGTCTTACTACTTTATTCTAAAAAGTTATAGAAACATTGAACAAAGGGCAAATGTTATAACAGATCTCAAGGTTTTGCCTGCAGTGTAAGATACCCTGAAAGGTAAATTTAAAATCCCTATTCAGAGGACAGGAACCCAGGAGGGATGTATTGCAGCAATATTTTCTACTGATCAGGCTTTTCTGTTTGAGTAGTATCCTGTAATACCCAAATATACAGTGAAGTGGGAAGTCGCTGTGTCTCCATTTCCCACTCACTCGTTTAAAAAACTGATAAAGTTACTATGTAGTTTGCCATTAAAAGTAGTATGGAAAAATAGGAAAGGGAAAAAACAACCCTAATTATCTGTATTAATATCTTCATCAATTATTAATTTATACCTGATAGAAGTTCATATCCATTGTTTTAAAAACTTGAAAAATGTAAAGAAAGCAAATCATCTTGTTCATGGTACAGATATAACCTCTTAATGTAGATTTGTAGATAACTGGTCTTTTTCACATATAAACAATTGACTTTTCTCACTGGACTTTATGTCATGAACAATTTTTATGTGTAACAGACAGGATAGTCAATTTACCTATCCTCACACCCCATTCTAATCCACTCCTGCCATAATCCTGACTGTGCAGCCTGCCATGTGACCTGTCCCCCACCACTGATGATTGGATCAGGAAAGGACCCTCAAGCCAGGCTTTAGATGCCCATAGGAATTTGACATTGGGTCACAGATTCTGATTAATGTTTATTAGGCATATGAACCCAAAAGTAATATAGAGTTGGAGGCTAGATGCAGTAGCTCATTCCTGTAATCCCAACACATTGGGAGGCCCAGATGGGAGGATCACTTGGACCCAGGAGTTGGAGTCCAGCCTGGTCAACATGACGAAACCCCATCTCTACAAATAAGAAAAAAATTAGCTAGGTTGGTGGTGCACACCTGTAGTCCTAGCTACTTGGGAGGCAGAGATGGGAGGCTTATTCAAGTCCAGGAGGTCAAGGCTGCAGTGAACCATGATTGCACCACTGCAGTCTAGCCTCGGCAACAGAACAGGACCCTGTCTAAAATATACATAGAAAAATAGAGGACACAAGCACACACTGGAACAATTTTTGTGGCCACATAAAAACCAAACCAAATCGAGACAAACTGAGAAACAAAAAATGAAGCGGACTCCTGAAGTGGGAATCCCATGAATCAGGTGTGGCAACTTCAGCCCTCAGCCTCTGCAATCCATATATATCCTGGTCTTGGGAGTCCATAGAGTACTGTTTCCTTCTAATAAAGGTTTCAAACAAAACCCTGATTAAGACATGCTAATCATTAAAAGTCTTCGTGGAAGGTAATTTTCCATATAAGCTGTGCAATATTCTATGGTATATGTCTCCAGTGTTAATCATTTACGTCATTTACACTTTGATCACCATAAACAATTTTTCAGTGAACATTCTTGGAAATAAAACTTTGCCTACTTTTTTTACAGAATTTTTTTCTTTGTTCAGTTCCCATAATGAGAATCAATGAGGCAGAAAGTAGGCATATTTTCTAAGGCTTTTGATGTATTTGCCAGAATGCCCTCCAGAAAAATTATACTAATTTGTATACCTTGTTAGCAGCCTGTGATAATGCCCAATTTTCTATACCCAAATAAACTCTGGGAATTACTCTTTTGAATATTTAACAACTGATACATACAAAATGGATTGCTTTTTTTAATAGACTACTTTTTAGAGCAGTTTTAAGTTCTCAGCAAAATTGAGAGAAAGATACAAAAATTTCTCATATACCCACTGCTCCCATTCATGTATACCGTCCCCTATTATCAACATCCCGTCCCAGGGTGACATTTGTTACAATTGATGAACCTACATTGACATATTATCACCCAAAGACCACAGTTTACATTAGGGTTCACTCTTGGTATTGTACATCTTATGGGTCTGGACAAATACATAATAATGTGTCCACCATTGTAGTTTCATTGCCTAAAAATCCTCTCTGTCTTACCCATTATGCATCCCTCCCTCTCTCCAGCCCCTAGCAACCACTGACCTTTCTACAGTCTTTATAGTGTTGCCTTTTCCAGGATGTCATGTATACAGGTTGAGTACCCCAATCTGAAAATCCAAAACACATTACAATGTGAAACTTTTCAGCACCAATATGATGCCACAAGTGCAAAATTTCACACCTGACCTCATGTGACAGGTCATAGACAAAATGCAGTCAAGACTTTGTTTCGGCCGGGCACAGCGGCTCAAGCCTGTAATTCCAGCACTTTGGGAGGCCAAGGCTCCTCACCTGAGGTCAGGCATTTGAGACCAGCCTGGCCAATATGGCTAACCCCCATCTTTGCTAAAAATATAAAAATTAGCTGGGTGTGGTGACACACACCTGTAGTCCCAGCTACTCGGGAGGCTGAGGCACGAGAATTGCTTGAACCCAGGAGGCGGAGGTTGCGGTGAGTCAAAATTGTGCCACTGCACTCCAGTCTGGGCAACAGAGCAAGACTCAATCTCAAAAAAAAGACTTTGTTTCATGCACAAAATTATTTAAACTGTATAAAGTTAGCTCTATGTGAGTAAGGTATATATGAAACAAATGAGTTTCATGTTTAAACTTGGGCCTCATCCCTAAGATATTTCATAATGTATATATATATTCCAAAATCTGAAATTGGAAACACTTCTGGCCCCAAGCATTTCAGATAAGGGATACTCAACTTGTTGAAATCGTACAATGTGTAGCTTTTCAGATTGGATTCTTTTACTTTCTAGTATGCATTAAAATTTTCTTCATGTCTTTTCATGCCTTGATAGCTCATTTTTTTCATTTTTTTCTTGTTTCTTTTTTCTTTCTTTTTTCTTGTTTTCTTATAAACATGTTTATAGCAGCTTTATTCATAATTGCCAAAACTCAGTGGGTAAATGAATAAATAATGGGTCTGTTTTTAAAAGAGTGTTTTATATTTTTACTATTGAACATCTTTTCACATGTTAATTTGTCACTTACCTTGTTTTGTGTATAGTAACGTTCATATCCTTTACTGATTTTTCTACTAAAGTCTCTTTTTACTCTTAAACAGAAGTGCCCTTAAAAATCAAATAGGGAACTTGCATATCAACATTTTAAATGCTTATGTCCTTTGGCTGATCAGTTCTAATATGTGGCATTTATCCTAGAAATACATTCTTAAAAGAATGTAAAGGTATTGAATGATGTTCCCTCTAGCATGGCTTTTAAAGAAAAAATATAACCTAAGTATGCATCAATAGGATAGTTAAGTAAATTATGGAACACCCATACAATATTACTTAGCTGTTAAAGAATAAGCTGATCTGTGAAGATCTCCAAGCTGTCTTAACCGAAAAGAGCTAAGGTGCAAAATTACATTGTGATATCATAAGTGTTTTAAAATGTATAAATGCTTATTCACTAAACAAAATGTTTATTAAGTGCTACTGTGTGACAGGTAGTGTCCTAGATAAATATGCACAAAATACAATGGTTAACTCTAAAGAGTGGGACACTTTTCGTTTTATGGTTCTTCTGCAACTTGACTTTTTTATTGTACGTATATTATGTATACTTAAAGAAAATAATTTGTACAACTTACTATAATGGTCTTTTAATTGATCTGTTTCGCCTCCTAACCAGTGATGACCCCGAAGACAGACATTTACCACTTTGTTGGTTTTTAATTGTAATGATGTACATAAATGTGGGGCGTGCTTGCACCGTCCGGATTGGCCTGGGGTCCGGCAGCAGAGAGCGACCTGGGCGGGGCGGGAGGTGGCAGCGGGGGTCCTCCTGGATCACCAGAGAGACGAGCGGCCGTGCTCCTAGAGAGGCAAGGAACCCGCCAGACTCCGCCACTCGGCTGCGGGCGCGGCGAGGGGAGAAGCTTTTGTGCCGGCCCGGCTGCCGGAGGCGCCGGCGACACCCGTCAGACCCGCCAGCCCGCCTGTAGCACGGCCTGGGCTCTGGGGAAATCGGCGCTCCCGACTGGGCAGCTCCGGGCCTCTGCGCTCCCTCGGGAGCCTTTCACGAGGTCGGCTACGTCTTTGTTTTGCGCGTTCCTGAACTTTTGGTCCATTAACCAACAATTAGACACGCAGGTATTCAGTGCCTGGCGCGGTGCTAGATGCTGGGTGTAATCTCAGAAAAATACATTCTGGGGTGCGCCTGAGGGTGCTGGCTGCTGGCATCTCGGTGCTTTACGTGCATTCGTGAAGAAGTCCAGCAGTATTTGTTGAATACCAGGTACGTGCCGGGCTTATAGAGTCTATGCAGAGATAAACTCCTGTTCTCAAGAACCCAAGTGGGGATGGGCTGGGTGATCTGTAATACGAGATGGAGGAGATGAAGGTTAGGTGCAGTTTTCCATGGGAACACCCATCTCTACCTGTGTGGCTTACTTTTCCTGTCTATATGTTAGGGTTAGGGGTGGCCAGGGAAGGTTTCACATAGAACATTTGCGCTGGGCCTTGGGAATTCACCCTTAGAAGGGGGGTCCTGACTGTATAAAGTGGGTGGGAAAAAAATTGAGTACTTAGCATGGTAGTGAGATAAGGAATTTGGGAAGACCATGGCTTTCTTGAAAGTAGAAACTAAGTCTTTTATTCCAGAGTTAGCTTTATGCCTGGAAAACAATGAGATGCTCCACAAATGTTTATTGAGTGACAAACAAATCAGCAAAATCCAGTAAAGATTAGATCCTGGGGAGTTTGAATTTACTTCCACGAGTTTAATGAAAACTTTGTATGTGTTTATGTGTGTGTAAGGTATGTTGAATATGGTCAGAATTGTGCTTTAGGGAATATTAATCCAGTAACCATAGAAGCGGGGAATTGGGCAGGAATACCATAACATTATTGTGACAGTGAATGAAAATGATAGTAACATAATAAGGAAAGGATGGCTGCAAGAGGCGTTTTTAAGAATTGACTTGATTCACTGATTGTATATAGAGGCTGTTTAAAAGACTGAATGCATGGAAGATGATGGTGATGCCAGTAGAAATGGAGAAATACAGAGTGAATGCAGCTTTGAGGAACTCTGATCTTAGTTTGAGATCTGTTGAAATTATAGTGCAAGAGAAGCCCACAGCTGCTGGCATTTCAAGATGTGGGTTTGGAGTGCAAAAAGCAAGCTGGAGCCAAAGATTTGAGTCTTCTTGGGAACAGAGATATATTGAAAGTGTGACTAAGGAGATCACAAAGGAAAAAACGAAGAGAGGGAAGAAAAGAACTTGATGCATTTCTACTGTTTCAGTTATGTGTTGTTGCATCAAAAATCAAATTCTAAACTTAGTAGCTGAAAACAAGCTTAGCTTATTGTTCCTCAGGATTCTGCAGGTTGACTGGGTAGTTCTACTGGTCTCACGTGGAGTTAGTAATAGAGCTGCATTCAGCTGGTGAATTATTTGAGCACTAGGCCCGGCTGGGCTTTAGCTTGGTCATTTTGGTTCTCATCCACATGACCTCTGTCTAGCTAGCTTGGGCCTCTCACAGCATGGCAGTCTTATGGCAGTGAGCCAAGAGCTACAGCAGCACTCTCTCTCTTACAATGTCATTTCTGCCGTATTCCATTGGTCAAAGCAAGTCATAGGCCAGAACAGATCCAAGGGAAGGAAAAATAGACTCCACCCCTTGATGAGAACAGTGGCAAAATCTCATCACAAAAGGTATTTGAGGATGGGAGACTTTGGAAACAGTCTATTACACCTACATTTAAAGTGGAATATTCAGTGAGAGTTACACAGATATAGATGACCTTTGAGACTGTATTATTTGCCCATGAAGGCAGCCATCTGCCTCCTCAGTGGGTAAAATGATCCCTTCTCCCCAGCTAAAGTGCAAGCTACTCGAGCGTTCTTATTGCTAATGCTTCTTCCCTCATATCCTACATCCCTTACCTCTGGACTCAGACCCTTTAGTACTACTTCAAAATATACTTCTGATTCATTTCACTGATAAATAGAAGCAAGCAGGCTCAGCTTTTGAGCATTACCTACAGTGGGTACAAAAATATAAGTAGATCACATACAGTTTTGAAGCTCTTAGAATTTGTGTGTTGCTGATCAATTCTTATGTCTCAGATCTCTATTTCTGAACACAGACCCCAAGTTAAATGAAGCTTTAGCCTCTAAACTCAACATGTATGAAGCTTTGCCAGGCCCTGCTCCTGAAAATGAAGATGGCCTTGTGAAAGTGAAGGAGGAAGATCCCACCTGGGAGCAGGTGTGCAACTCACAGGAGGGCAGCTCCCACACTCAGGAGATTTGCCGCCTGCGCTTTCGGCAGTTCTGCTACCAGGAGGCTCATGGACCCCGGGAAGCTCTGGCCCAACTCCGAGAACTTTGTCATCAATGGCTGAGACCCGAGATGCACACCAAGGAACAGATAATGGAACTGCTGGTGCTGGAGCAGTTCCTGACCATCTTGCCCAAGGAGCTCCAGCCCTGTGTGAAGACATATCCTCTGGAGAGTGGAGAGGAGGCAGTGACAGTGCTGGAGAATCTAGAGACAGGAAGTAGTGACACAGGACAACAGGTGGGAAGAGAATGTGTGTGGTGGTGTGGGAGAAGAACAGGGGGACATGTATCAGTTTATTTTTAACTTTTTATTTTGAAATAACTTCTAATTTATAGAAGTATTAGAAGAATAAAGAACTCCTGTAAACTCTTCATCCAGATTTGCCAGTTGTTAACATCTGTTTCATGAAGTCCCATTGTTGTGTACACACTTGTGCAAGGAAGTGCATTCCCCCAGTATGCATATGTACATGTATACACACACATACATACATACACACATGCAGTATTTTTTTTTTCCTCAAACCATTTGAGAGTTAGTTGCAAACACTATATCCCTTTACCTCACTGTTGCCCAGGCTGGAGTGCAGTGGTACAATCATAGCCTCATTGCGGTCTTGAGCTGCAATGGTGGAAGGCTCAAGCAGTCCTCCCGCCTCAGGCTCCTGAGTAGATGAGGCTACAGGTGCGTGCCACCGTGCTTGGCTAATTTATCTTTAATTTTTTGTAGAGGGGGTGGGGTCTTGCTGTATTGCCCAGGCTGATCTTGAACGCCTGGCCTCAAGTTACCATGCTGCCTTGGCCTCCCAAAGTGTTGGGATTACAGGCGTGAGCCACTGCACCTGGCCATTCAGTGTGGATTTCTGAAGAGTGAGGACATTCTGTTGTATAACCAGAATACAAAAATCAAGTTTAGGGAAATTAAAATTATGATACTGTCATATAACCTTAGTCTTTATTCATATTTTACCATGTTATCCTATTAATGTTCTTTATGATAATTTTCCTCTGATTCAGGATACGAGCCAGCATCACATATTGCAGTTAGTTGCCATATCTCTAGTCTTTGTGAATCTGGAGTAGCTGCTGTCTTTCTTTGTCATGACATTGTTATTTTTGAATAGTACAGCTAGTTTTTTTGGAGAATATCCCTCAGTTTGAGTTTGTCCTATTTTTTCTCGTGGTCAGATTCAGGCTGCACATTTTGGCTAGAATACCACAGAGGTAATGTTGTGTTCTCAGTGCATCACTTCAGGAGGTGCGTGGTGATGATTTGTCCCATTACTGATGAGGTTACAGTGGTACCTGTCAAATTTCTCCACTAGAAAGTTACCATTTTCCCCTATGTAATTACTAAGTAATCTGTGGGAGACATTTTGAGTTGGTGTACATATCCTGTTCCTCATTAAACTTTGACCAGCTAGTTTAAACATCCACTTGTTTGTTGTTTTTGTTTTTCTGGGCTGAGATCCTTTGCCTATCTTTTCTACCTTGTTTGCTGCTGTATCCTCAGCATACAGAACAGTGCCTGGCTCTTAGCATGCAGTCCATATATGCATGCCTTTTCAAAATAAATCTTTTGTTTCCAGGCCTCTGTCTATATTCAGGGACAGGACATGTACCCAATGGTGACAGAATATCAAGAAGTCTCTTTGGAGTGTCCGAGCCTCCAGCTCCTGCCTGGGGTAACCACTCTGAAGTGTGAACCTCCACAGCTTCCTCAAGAGAACCCCCAAGAAGTGAGTGGTGAGTGCTAGAGTGAGTTTAGTGAGGACACTGGGAGCTGGCCACTGACACTTGCACAGCCTTCTTGTCCTCAAGTTTGTATACATTGTGAAATGATTACCATAAGCTAACTTACGTATCTCACAGTTACCTTTTATGTGTCTGTGGTAAGAATTCCTAAGATCTACTCTCATGAAATTTCAAATATACAATACATTATTACTATAGTGGCCATTCTGTACATAGGTCTTCAGAGCTTATTCATCTTATAACTGCAAGTTTGTACCCTTTGACCAACATCAAGTTTTATTTTTTTGTCTAACCCTGTATCCGGACAAACTTTTAAAGACCTGCTTTATTTTACACTGTGCTTTTTAAGCTGGTTTATTTAGTATGTATGTGTTGTGGACAAGTACATATAATAGTAAAAGTGAATTGGGGCAAGGCTGTTTTTTTTCCAGCAAACTTTATTCCTTCTAGAAATGAAACAACAGCAATAAAAAGATTCCATAGTGGTCCATTACGGAAGCAAAGAAAAGCAGAGCAAAGAAAAGTGATGTTCTGTTTTATATTTTGGGTTAGAATTACCACATGTGCTCTTCATTTGATAATTTTGTACTCTGCCATCTGCCAACTGCCAACTGTGTGACCTAGGCAAGTCATTTAATAGGTCATTCAATTAGTCAACAATTATCTGTTTGATCTCTGTGTGTACTCTGCACTCAGCTGTGATTCTTCTGAGTGTGCCTAGGATTTTGGCAGCAATAATGTGGACCTTCTTGATCATTTTGAGGATTGGAAATAATCTTTTAAAGTAACAGCACAGTGGCTGGCACTGTGCAGTCATCATCGCCATTTTGATTATTGTTGGTTCTTTGGGATAAGTACCTCCTAACAGTTTTTCTAGTTCATGGCTAACATCTCTTCTCTTTTTTTTTTTTTTTTTTTAATATCTTTATTTTTCTGTCTCTTTCTTCATCTTCCTTTCTTCTGCTTTCCTGTTTCCCCTCTGTCTCATCTCTCTACTCTCCACATCCTTTCTTTTGCCCGTGTTCTCTCCTTGATCCTTCCTTTATCACCAGCTTCTTCCTCCCCTTTATTTTTATCTATGATTTTTATTTTTTCTTTATGTAAAAGTGAATGACTATAAAACACCTTATGAGTTCATAAATCCCACTCCATTTTTTGGGTGAGAGACCCTAAAGCTGTAGAATTTTAGAATTTCTGACAGAGTGAAAGCAGTTGTGATGCTCTTTCTCACACAGTAAAATCTACATCTTAGTTCTTGAATGTTTCACAAACATAACATTTGGGGGAAAAGGCTGAGTCTCCAAAAAGGGTACCCTGAAGGCCATCATGTCTCATTTAGGACTCTTACCTTCTCCCTCTACAGGGCCTGTTCCCCATGGATCAGCTCATCTCCAGGAAAAAAGCCCCAGAGACAAGGCTGCAGTGCCTGTGTTTAACCCAGTCAGGTCCCAGGTAAGTAGGATGCCCAAGCTTGTAGGAATGTCAGTAGTGGTTTCTCCTTCATTCCATGTTCCTTGCCCTTCTCTTGGCTCACACTCATCATCCCAAGAGCCATTCAGGTGGCATAGTCCCTCTGCCTTCACCTTGTCACAGAATATCACAAAGTGTGTTGCATCATTCAAGGAACTTATATTGATTACATGCCATTGTCTCATTTCATTGTTTAGGAGGCATGTCCAAATCTCAAGGCATGGGAGTGAGGGGTGGAGTGAGGCTCCTGGTTTCAGAAAGTGCACCACTCATTTGATGTTAAGTAACTGATGTTTTCTCTTTTGAAGTCTCTGGTTTATCTCCCCAGCTTTAGAACAAGGGCCCTTTCTCACACTACTTTATATTCAGCATATATGCAATTAATGCTTGGTGATAATAATGGAAATTCTATATATCCAAGGTAATACTTAACATCTTCTTCACAAAATGGACTCTGGTTTTTGGTTTTTGTTTTTTTTTTTCTTATCAGTGGTTCATTCATTTTCCTAGTCATTCATTTGCAAAAAAAATAAATAAATAAGTCTCTCATTTAAGTCCTCTTGCATATTGCTGCCACATCAGTTTCCTCAAGATACTTGCTCAGTCCTCTTCTATGGCTTCTAATTGATTTTTAATTCTATCAGACCCAGTGCCTCCTGTTATTAACAAATACTTCCTGAGAAGAAGTGTCTAGAAAATAAAACCTACTCATGCACATTCTGAAAATCAACATAATTCCCTTAAATGTAATATAATGGTGTAATGTAGAGACAAAAAAGTTACTTATTGTAAAAGTAGCGTTTTAGTAGGTGGGAATTGAACAGTGAGAACACTGGGACACAGGAGGGGAACATCACACACCGGGGCCTGTTGTGGGGTAGGGGGAGGGGAGAGGGATAGCATTAGGAGATATATCTAATGTAAATAACGAGTTAATGGGTGCAGCACACCAACATGGCACATGTGTACATATGTAACAAACCTACACATTGTGCACATGTACCGTAGAACATAAAGTATTAAAAAAAAAAAAAGTAGTGTTTCAAAATGCAAGTGCTTCACGTGATTATAACTAAGGAAATAACATAGTCAGGTGTTTGCACTGAAGTATCATTAGTAAGTTCAAATGAAGGAGGAATAAGAAGATCAGAAGTCCAAGAAAATCAAAGGGCAATGGTGTAGGTGGACAGTGGAATGAAACTAGTATTGAGTCAGATAATACAAGACTAGACAGAGAAAGTGGGGCCCTTAATTAAAGTAGGACATAGATGTTGTAAATTGAATTATGTCCCTCCAAAAGATATGCGAAAATTCTGTCCCCAAGTACCTGTGAATGTGACCTGATTTGGAAATAGACTCTGTCTTAGTCCATTTTGTGTTGCTGATAACAGAATTCCTGAGACTGGGTAATTTATTTTAAAAAGAGGTTTATTTAGCTCAAAGTTCTGCAACCTGGGAAGTCCAAGATCATCAGCCTGTCTGGTGAGGATCTCATGCTGCTTTAGCTCATGGCAGAAAATGGAATGATGAAGAATCAAGTGTGTGCAAGGTACCAAACGTTAGAGGCAGCCATCCTTTAAACAGCCTGCTCTTGGATCTGAGCGAGAGCAAGAATAGAAAGCTTATTCAAAATAACAATAGGCCGGGTGCAGTGACTCTCACCTGTAATCCCAGCACTTTGGGAGGCCATGGCAGGAGGATTGCTTGAGGCCAGGAGTTCGAGACCAGCCTGAGTAACACAGCAAGACCCTGTATTTATTAAAAGAAAGAATAGGCCGGGCACGATGGCTCACGCCTGTAATCCCAACACTTTGGGAGACTGAGGCAGGTGGATCACGAGGTCAGGAGTTCGAGACCAGCCTGGCCAACATGGCAAAACCCTGTCTCTACGAAAATACAAAAAAAAAAAATTTATCCAGGTGTGGTGGCAGACACCTGTAATCCCAGCTACTCGGGAGGCTGAGGCAGGAGAAGCGCTTGAACCTGGGAGATGGAGGCTGCAGTGAGCTAAGATCATGCCATTGCACTCCAGCCTGGGCAACAAGAGCAAGACTCCATCTCAAAAAATTAAAATAAATTTTAAGAAATAGAGAAATAATAACAAAAATCTTCACAAAACTTGAGAAAGATATAAATGTCCAGGTACAGGAAGATCTGAGAACACTGAACAGAATCATCCCAATTAAGACTACTACAAGGCATATAATAATCAAACTCTCAACTCTCAAGGAAAAAGAGAGGATCTTAAAAACAGCAAGAGAAAAGAAACAAACACTGCACCTCATCTGGCAACAGACTTCTCAATGGCAATCATATAGGCCAGGAGAAAGTGGAATGACGTTTTCAAAGTACTCCAAGAAAAAAACTGACATTCAAGAATATTGTACCCAACAGAATTATCTTTCATTTATGATGGAGAAAGCATTTCCTAGACAAACAAAAGCTGAGAGAGTACACCACCACCAGACACGTCTTACAAGAAATGCTAAAGAATTCTTAATCTAAAAGGAAAGAAGACTAATATGCAAAACAAAAACTTTTGAAGGCATAAAAGTCACTGATAAAATTAAGTACATGGACAAACCCAGAATACTTTATTACTATAATAGTAGCATACAATATACTCACAACTGTACTGTGAAGTCCCAAGACATACCTATCAAAAACAATAATAGGACTGGACACAGTGGCTCATGCCTGTAAACCCAGTTCTTTGGGAGGCTGAAGTGGGAGGATCACTTGAGACAAGGAGTTTGAGACCAGCCTGGGCAACATGGTAAGACCCTAACCTGTACCTGGAGACAGGAGACAGAGTAAGACCATATCTTTAAAACAAAACAAACAATAATAGCTAGCAACCTGTCAAGAGAGAGGTAATATAAAGATATAAATTGAGACAGCAAAAAGTCAAAATCTAGAGGAATGGAATTAAAGCATATAATTTTTTTCTGTGTGTTTCTGCCTTTGTTTCTACTCTTGCGTTTGGGATCTAAGATAAGTTGTCATCTCTTTAAAATAACTTATTATATCTAAAGGTCTTCTTTGTAAGCCTCATGATAACCACAATGCAAAAACCTATAATAAACACACTAAAAATAGCCACAAATGAAGGCATACTATAAGAGAAAATCACTTAGCCACAGAGGGTTTTTATTGTTGTCATCGTTGTTGTTGTTTGAGATAGGGTCTCGCTTTCACTGAGGCTGGAGTGCAGTGGTATCATCTCAGCTCACTGCAACCTCTGTCTCCCAAGCTCAAGTGATCCTTCTACCTCAGCCTTCCAAGTAGCTGGGACCACAGGTGTGTGCCACCATGCCTGGATAATTCTTTGTATTTTTTATATACCTGGGTTTTTGCCATGTTGCCCAGGATGGCCTTGAACTTCTGGCCTCAAGCAGTCTGCCCACCTTGACCCCACAAAGTGCTGGGATTACAGGCATGAGACACCGTGCCCGGCTGTATATAACAATTATAAATACCTATGCATGTAACACCAGAGCTCCCCAGTATATAAAGAAAACATTAATCTAAAAGGAGAGCTAGACTGCGATACAATAATAGTAGGAGATTTTAATGACCCCATTCTCAGTAACTGACACATCATCCAGACAGAAAGTCAACAAAGAAACAGTGGAATTAAACTACATACTAGATCTAATAAACCTAACTGATATTTACTGAACATATCACTCAACTGCTACAGAATGCACATTTTTTTCATCAGCACGTGGAACATTCTTAAGAGTAAACCATATCTTAGGCCACAAGCAAATCTGAACAAATTTTTTAAAACTATAAATCATATCAAGTATCTTTTCTAATTGCAGTGGAATAAAACTAGAAAGCAATAACAAGAAAAACCTTGGAAACTACACAAATGCATGGAAATTAAATAGCATGCTTCTGAACAACTAATTTGTCAGGGAAGAAATTAAAAAGGAAATCTAAAAATGTCTTGAATCTAATGAAAATAGAAAATGTGACATATCAAAATTTGTGGGATACAGCAAAAGCAGTACTAAGAAGGAAATTTATAGCAATAAACACCTATATTAAAAAAGTAAAAATACATCAAATGAACAACCTAATGATACACCTCAAGGAACTAGAAGAGCAACAACTGACCAAACCCAAAATTAGTAGAAGGAAACAAATAATAAAGATTAGAGCAGAAATAACTGAAATTGAGACCAAAAAAAAACAAAAAAAACAAACAAAACCAGAAGAACAGTGAAACAAGAAGTTGGATTTTTCGAAAAGGTAAACAAAATCAAGCCTTTAGCTAGACAAACAAAAAAGGAGAAGACCCAAATGAATAAAATCAGAAATGAAAAAGACGTAACAGCTGAGACCTCAGAAATACAAAGAACTCTTAGAGACTATTATGAACAACTATATGACAATAAATTTGAAAACCTAGAAGAAATGGATAAATTCCTAGATACATGCCAACTACTAAGATTGGACGATGAAGAAATAGAAAACCTCAGCAAACCAATAACAAGTAACGAGATAGAATCTGTAACAAAAAGTTTTCAAAGAAAAGCCCAGGACCTGTTGGCTTCCCTGCCGAATTCTAAACATTTAAAAAAGAACTGATACCAATCCTATTCGAACTCTTCCAAAAAAAAGAAAAAATGAAGAAGAGTTACTACTTCCAAATTCATTCTAGGAGGCCAGGATTACCCTGATACTAAAACCAGACTAGGATACAAGATAAAAAGAAAACTACAGACCAATATCACTGATGAGCAAAGGTGCAGAAATTCTCAGTGAAACACAAGCAAACTGAATTCAACAACACATTAAAAAGATCATTCACCATGATCAAGTGGGATTCACTCCAGGGATGCAAGGATGATTCAACATATGCCAATCAATAAATGTGATATATCACATTAATATCAGGAACAAAAACCATATTATTATTTCAATAGATGTTGAAAAGCATTTGATAAAATTCATTGCTTTTTGATAAAAACCCTTGTCAAAATTGGTATAAAAGGAACATACGTCAAAATTAGGGCCATATGTGACAAACCCACAGCTAACATCAAACCGAAGGCCTTTTCTCTAAGGACTGGAACAAGACAAGGATGCCCACTTTTACCACTGTTGTTCAACATAATACCCAAAGTCTTGGCCAGAGCAATTACACAAGAGAAAGAAATAAATGGCATCCAAACTGGATAGCAAAAAGTCAGGTTAGTCTGTTTGCAGATGATATAATCTTATACCTAGGAAAACCTGAAGACTACACCAAAAAAAACTGTTAGTGCTAATAAACAAACTAAGTAAAGTTGCAGGATAAAAAATCAACACTCAAAAATTAGTAGCATTTATATACTCCAATAGTGAGCAATCTGAAATAGAAATCAAGAAAATAATCGCATTTACAATAGCTACAAAAAATGTAAAATACTTAGGGAATTTAAATACTAAAAATTTAAACACCAAATTAAGTTAAATTTAGTGTTTAAATTCCCTAGGTATTTAATACTTTTTAGTATTTTATAATTTATAATTTAGTATTTAAATACTAAAGAAGTGAAAGACATATAAGGAAAACTAAAACTCTTATGGAACAAATTGAAGAGGACACAAAAACAATGGAAAGATATTTCATGCTCGTGGATTGGAAGAATTTATATTGTTAAAATAATATAAATTATTAGAATTTATATTATTAAAATTATTTCCCAAAACAATTTACAGATTCAGTGTAATCACTATCAAAATACCAATGACATTCTTCACAAAAATCAGAAAAAAAATTCATGTGGTAAGCCCTGAATCTAATGACTCGTATTCTTACAAGAAGTCCATATTTGCAAATTTACCAAGGGGTTGAAAAAAAAAAGAAAGAAAAATGCCCAAGTGAAAACACACACAGGGAGAATGCCATGTAATGACTGAGGCAAAGATTTGTGTAACATATCTGCAAGCCAAGGAACACCAAGAATTACTAACAAACACTAAAAACTTGGAGAGAGACATGGAAAATTATCTCATAGAACTTTTTTTTCTTTTCTTTTCTTTTCTTTTCTTTTTTTTTTTTTTTTTGAGACAGTCTTGCTCTGTTGCCAGGCTGGAGTGCAGTGGCGTGATCTCAGCTCACTGCAACCTCTGACTCCCTGGTTCAAGCGATTCTCCTGCCTCAGCCTCTAAAATAGCTGAGATTAAAGGCACGCACCACCACGCCCAGCTAATTTTTGTATTTTTAGTAGAGACAGGGTTTCACCATGTTGGCCAGGATGGTCTTATCTCCTGACCTAGTGATCCGCCCACCTTGGCCTCGCAAAGTGCTGGGATTACAGGCATGAACCACCGCACCCGGCCTCCCATAGATCTCTCAAAGATAACATGGCCCTGCTGATATATTGATTTTGGATTTCTAGCCTCCAGAGCCATGAGAGAATATAATTCTGTTGTTTTCTGCTATTGAGGTTGTGGTACTTTGTTACGAGAGCCGTAGGAAAGCAATATAAGTTACAAAACAAATTGTGGGCAGATAAAAAGGGAGAAAATAAGGAGATGTGATATTACAGATATACTTTATTGTGTTTCACTTTATTGTGCTTTGCAGTATTGAAAGTTTGTGATGACTGTGTGGAACAAGTCTGTCAGCACCATTTTTTCTAACAGCATGTGCTCACTTTGTGTCTGTATGTCACATTTTGGTAATTCTTGCAGTGTTTCAAACTTTATTTTTATATCTGTCATGGTGATCTGTGATCAGTTATTTTTGATGTTGCTATTGAATTTGTTTTGGTGTGTCACAAACCATGCCCATTTAAGATGGCAAACCTAATAGATAAACATTGCATGTGTCCTGACTGCTCCATTGACCAGCTATTCCCCCATCTCTTTTCCTTTCCTTGGTCCTTGCTATGTCCTGAGACACAATAATATTGAAATGAAACCATTTATAATAATACTTCTACAGTGACCTCTATATGTTCAAGTGAAAAGAAGAGTCACATGTCTCTCAGTTAGTTAAATCAAAAGCTAGAAGTGATTAAGCATAGTAAGGAAGGCATGTTGAAAGCTGAGATAGGCCAAAAGCTAGGAGGCCTCTTGTGCCAAACAGGCAAGTTGTGAATGCAAAGGAAATGTTCTTGAAGGAAATGAAAAGTGCTGGTGAGTATACAGATGATAAGAAAGCAAAAAGCTTTTCGCTGATATGGAAAAAGTTTGAGTGGTTTGAATAGAAGATCACACCAGACGCAGCATTGCCTTAAGCCAAAGGCTAATCCGGAGCACATCTCTTACTCTCTTCAATTCTGTGAAGGCTGAGGGAGGTGAGGAAGCTATAGAGGAAGAATTGGAAGCTAGCAGAGGTTGGTTCATGAGGTGTAAGGAAGAAGCCGTCTCCATAAAATGCATCAGCAACAAGTGCTGATGTAGATGCTGCAGCAGGTTATTCAAATCTAGCTAAAATCACTAATGAGGTGGCTACACTAAACAACAGATTTTCAATGTAGATGAAACAACCTTATATTGGAATAAGATGCCATCTAAGACTTTGATTGCTAGAGAGAAGTCAATGCCTGGCTTCAGAGCTTCAAAGGACAGGCTGACTTGTTACGGGCTTATGCAGTTGGTGACTTTAAAGTTGAAGCCAGTGCTCATTTATCATTCTGAAAATCCTAGGGTCCATAAGAATTAGGCTAAACCTACTCTGCCTGTGCTCTAGAAATGGAACAACAAAGCCTGGATGATAGCACATCTGTTTACAGCATAGTTTACTGAATATTTTAAGCCTACTCATGAGACATAGTACTAAAAAAAAAAATTCTTTGAAAATATTACTGCTTATTCACAGAGCACCTAGTCACATAAGAGCTCTGAAGGACAGGTACAAGGAAAATTAATGTTTTCAAGCCTTCCAGTACAATACACATTCTGTAACCCATGGATCAAGGAGTAATTTTGACTTTCAAGTCTTATTTTTTGAGAAATACATTTTGTAAGGCTATAGCTGCCATAGATAGTGATTCCATAGATAGTGATGGATCTGGGCAAAGTAAATTAAAAACCTTCTGGAAAGGATTCATCATTCTAGATGCCAGTAAGAACATTTGTGATTCAAAGGAGGAGGTAAAAATACCAACATTAACAGGAGTTTGGAAGAAATTGGTTCCAACACTCTTGGTTGTCTTTGAGAGGTTTAGGACTTCAGTGGATAATGTAGCTGCAGATGTGGTGGAAAGGACTGGTATTAGAAGTGGAACCTGAAGATGTGACTGAATTGCTACCATCTCATGATAAAATTTGAACAGATAAGTTACTTCTTATGGATGAGCAAAGAAAATGGTTTGAAATTGAATCTATTCCTGGTGAAGCATTGTTGAAATGACAACAAAGGATTTAGAATATTAAATAAACTTAGTTGATAAAGCAGCAGCAGGTTTGAGATGATTGACTACAATTTTGAAAGATGTTCTACTGTGGGTAAAATGCTATCAAACAACATTGCATGCTACACAGAAATCTTTTGTGAAAGGAAGAGTCAATCAAGGTGGCCAATGTTACTGTTTTATTATAAGAAATTGCCACAGCCACTGAAACCTTCAGCAACCACCACACTGGTCAGCAGCCTCCAACATCGCAGGAAGGCCCTCTACCAGCAAAAAGATTACAACTCTCTGAAGGCTCAGATGCTTATTAGCATTTTTTAGCAATAAAGTATTTTTAAATTAAGATATATACCTTTTTTAGATATAATGCTTATCTACAATTAATAGACTACATAGTATAGTGTAAACATAATTTTCACATGCACTCGAAAGCCAAGAAATTTATGTGGCTTGCTTTATTGTGGCTGTCTGGACCTGCAGTATCTCTGAGGTATGCCTATGTTTAAATGAGGTGGGCTTTGCCTTTTATTATCAAAATAATTATCTGTTTGTAGTTTGGGATACGGTGATGATGAGTTAAAGAGAAAATATCTTCTGTCTTGAAACCCCTCCTTATCAGAACAGACATTCATTCTGTAAAAGACTGGCACTGTATCCTTTTTCAGGCAACAAGAAAGAGAAAGTAGATTGGAAAATGAGAGAAAATCAGAGGTTAATGAAACCATGTGGTAGCCCTTTGGAACAGTGTCAGAGAGATAGAAAATCTCAGACAGTTTCCAAAATAAATAATTTCAGTGTGTGATTTTTCTAGCCTAAATATCATTACTAGCTTTGAAATGTTTTTAAACAATTTTTGTTCATGAAATTTAGTGAGATTTCTGCATTTACGTTAGATTCCAAGTCTGTTTAAAGGAGTCTGAAAACTCCATTATGTATTTGTAGTCAGTTTAATTGTGTTTGTTATAACTGCAATATTATATTGAAGTGCTGTTCAACCAAATACATAGAAAATGCTGTAAAACTGTGTAGAGCAATCTAAGTGAGTCAACTTTTGTGACAATGTCTTTATGTAAGCTTCCTTCTCTAACTTTCCTGAATCACTGATTTTTTTTTCAGTATCATCCTATAAAAACTCTTAGGATGCCTATGTTTCAGTGCAGCTGATTTATATTGATTGTAGGTTTGATTCAGGAGGACACTCAAAAGTCCTACAGGATGTGGAAGAATTCTTTGTAGTGTGGGACTGTCCCACATATTGCAAGATGCCTAACATCTCTGGCCTCACCCTCCGAATGGCATTGGCTTGGAGTGGTGGTGGACTTCATTGTTATAACCAGAAAGATTCCCACAAATTTACTTAATGCCCTGAGGGGCTGGAACTACTGGTCTGCAGTGTGGTATTCAACACCCTTCACAACTGGATTCCGTAACCATGTGAAAACAAAGAGGCTATTTTCTTTTTTTGACTTTTTAGACATTGGTGAAGACTGAGGAAGAAACAGCCCAGGCCCTTGCTACAGAGAAGTGGCCACATCTGAGTCTGGCTCGGAGGAACCTCTGTGGGAACTCAGCTCAGAAGACAGTTACAAGCCTCAGTCTGATGAGTAAGGCCAGGCCTCTGACTGGACCCCTGTATGGACTCTCATTTTCCCTTCACTCACCCCGGCTTGGCCCTTGGGAGCCCATGTTTCCTTCCACAACCTTCCATTCCCTTCTTCTAGCCTGTGCCTCCAGACTTTTCCTAGGCCTTATCACTTTGCATCCTTCCCAATCACATTTTCTTCTGTTGCTAATCAGCTTACTGATTCTTGTGGTTATCTTCTCTGATCATCCCTCCCAGTTCCCTGTTTCCTTCAGTGACTCCTTTGTATCCTTTTCCCCTTTTTTCTTCCCTATCAAGGATTCCATATAACTTGTCTTTCAGATATCCCTTCATACTTGGAAGCCCCATGAACACCTCTGTCTGATCTTGTCTTTACCTCAGAGGAGGTCGTCTTCACTCTCTAAGAACACTACAGTTCATGTTTATTTTACTTTTTTAGTTTTTTTTAGAGATGGGGTCTCACTCTGTTGCCCATGCTGGAGCATAGTGGCATGATGATAGTTCACTGCAGCCTCAAACTCCTGGGCTCAAGCGGTCCTCACACCTCAGCCTTCTAAACAGCTGGGGCTACACCCAGGTAATTTTTTGTAGACACTGAGGCTTGCTATGTTGCCCAGGCTGGTCTTGAACTCCTGGCCTGAAGCAGTCCTCCCACCTCAGCCTCCCAAAGCACCCAGCCTCATTTTCTTGAAATGTGCTCTGCCCTGTTGGGATCTCTGTCCAGCTGGGCTTTGTTGCCTTAATTAACCTTTCTTACCATTTTCCCATACCATGCCACATTTTGTAGGATTGCTGAAACTGTGCACCCTTGAAACACCAATATGATTTTTTGTTTGTTTGATTTGGAACATCTGTTCCCTACCTTGGAAGTTGTTTTTTTTCAAAATTCACAGAACTGATGACATTTAAATCATTAATACTATATTTTAGCTGAAGAAATTGTAACTAAAGATACATTGTTTAATGCAAAGCAAGAAACTTCTGAAGAAATGGAACAAAGTGGAGAAGCCTCAGGAAAGCCCAATAGGTGAGTGTCCATGGTCCTCAGTGAATCAAATCCTACAGATACAAGAAACTGGAGTGGAATCAGAGAAACCAATTGGTCAAAAGCCTGCTTCCCTGGAATAAGATATGATGACTGCCACTCACTTCTGTGGTCATAAGAGATCCATGCCAAGAAAGTGACCTATTCAAAATGTTCAATATGCAATAAATATACAAAACCTTCAGTTGACACTCAGTTGCCTCCAAGAAGCCTATCCTCATCCAGTCTGTCCTTGATTACCCTTCCCTGGGCTCCCTTACATTTCTATAGAGCTATAGAGAAGCCAGAAGGCAGATAATTTAACAAGAGTGAGGGCTACAGATGAAGCTGCCATGACAGTTAAGAAAGAAATGTCAGAGCAGAAGAGGACAAGCAGGGTACAGCTTGAGCATTCCAAATCTGAAATGTTCCAAAATCTGAACTGTTTTGAGCACCAGCATGATGCTCAAAGGAAATGCTCATTGGAGCGTTTTGGATTTCGGATCTTTGGTTAGGGATGCCCAACTGGTATAATGCAGATATTCCAAAATCTGAAAAAATCCAAAATTCAAAAATTTTCTGGCCCCAAGCATTTCAGATAAGGGAAAATTAACCTATATTTTCAACCGCCATTAGACCTGAACAAGGTATAGGTCAAAAGGAAAGTTAGCTGATGAAGTGGAAATGAATGACAGTGGTGGGCACTTCATAAGTGCCCAACATTCCGAGGCTTCTCAGGATTGCAGAAAGAGAGGGAGCAAATCACAAGCAGAGGGTTGGCTTCTGGTGAGGCCATTTGGTCCTCAGAGACTTGAGAAAAGAGAGAGGAAGCAAAGTGGGATACTTACCTAAAGAGCGGAGAAGGGGGTATGAACTTTCCTTATTGACATTTGTTCAACTTGGAGAAACTGGGAGCTAAATCTCAGCTAAAGTAGAAATGTCTTAAAGCTTAAGAAGAGAAGTGAAATTTTGCATTAAGATTAGTGAAGATTGAGCCAGCCTCCGCTAAAGGAAGAGAAATGATGTTCAGTAACTTAGAGCAGAGTTATACAACTGGAGCATAGGAATCTGTTGTTGTGTCTATGAGGTACATTTATTATCAGGCAACTATCAGGTAATTCACAGTGCCTATAAGAATAAAGATATCTTGTTCATATAACAAAAAGTCTGAAGGTAGGCTATTTCAGGTTTGGTGCAATAGCTTAACCATGGTATCAAAGGTCTAGCCCCCTGCCCTCCTTCTAGTCCCCCTCCCTCACCTCCACCCCCCTTTCTTAGCTCACTCTGTTTTCCCATTTCTCACTCCCATTTCCTTCCCTCACAATATTGGGCTTAATGCACTGCAGCTATTAGAGTTTAGATGTCAACAGTAGAAAGACTCAGTGTGATCAAGGAATGCACATATCTAAAAATTAAAAAGTTTGTGTAAAATAATACTTTTCAGCCAGGCGCAGTGGCTCACACTTGTAATCCCAGCACTTTGGGAGGCCAAGGTGAGTGGATCACGAGGTCAGGAGTTCGAGACCAGCCTGGCCAACACAGTGAAACCCTGTCTCTACTAAAAATACAAAAATTAGCTAGGCATGGTGGCACGTGCCTGTAGTCCCAGCTACTTGGAAGGCTGAGGCAGGAGAATCGCTTGAACCTGGGAGGCGGAGGTGGCAGTGAGCTGAAATCATGCCACTGCACTCCAGCCTGGGTGACAGAGCTAGAGCTAGACTCTGTCTCAAAACAAAACAAAAAAACACAACTTTTCATCTTTGTAATTTTAGCTTACTTCCTTGTAAACCCCATAAAAATCAGTCCAAGTGCAGTGAGTTGAGAGTTGAGTTTCATTTGTTCTTCCCCATAGTAGTATGTCCATCAGATGAATATAGAACTAGCAGGGGCTAAGTCCTTCCATATTCAGAAATTCTGTGAGAGGTGTGAGGAGACCTGGTAAACAACCTTTTTTTCGTGTTCAGGTTCAGAACCAATTGACAGGGTCGCAGGAGTAAAATAGATGGTTCTGGAAACCTCAGTTTCTTACTGACAGAAGTTAGACCGGATAAAAACGGCTTAAAGGCAGAGCTAAATAGGCTTGTACTGGCAGAGGAGGAGTGTAGCAGATGTCCCTCTGCATAGGTCTTCTCAGTGCAACTTGGGGCACCAAGGAGCATGGGATGTCTGCATCCTGCTCCTAAAGAGGACAGAGAGAGGGGTGTACCAAGGATACCCAGTTCTTTCTCCCAGGCTCAAGAGTTAGTTCCATCCTGAGGAGTGAGTAAGAGGTAGAGGCTAGAAATGTTCAATCTAGCCAAAGTCCTTCCCATGGAAACAAAAGAGAAGTAAGTAAGTATCTCCTCCCCACCCCAAGCCACGAAAGATTTAAGCTTCAGCAGATTTATCATGTGTGAGAGAATATGATTGAGAATTTTTATAACATGTTCTTTTTTTCTTTCCCAGAGAGTGTGCACCCCAGATTCCTTGTAGTACTCCTATCCCTGCTGAAAGGACAGTTACACATTTGAACACTCTGAAGGACCGTCACCCAGGTGATTTGTGGGCCCGGATGCACATCTCATCCTTGGAATATGCTGCAGGAGACATTACCCGAAAAGGGAGAAGAAAAGACAAAGCTCGAGTGAGTGAACTGCTCCAAGGTCTCTCATTCTCTGGTGACTCAGATGTGGAAAAAGATAATGAGCCTGAGATCCAGCCTGCTCAAAAGAAGTTAAAGGTGTCTTGTTTCCCAGAAAAGAGTTGGACCAAAAGAGACATTAAACCCAACTTTCCAAGCTGGTCAGCACTGGATTCTGGACTTTTGAATCTCAAGAGTGAAAAGTTGAACCCAGTAGAGCTTTTTGAATTATTTTTTGATGATGAAACATTCAACTTAATTGTCAATGAAACCAATAATTATGCTTCTCAGAAAAATGTCAGCTTGGAAGTCACAGTTCAGGAAATGAGGTGTGTGTTTGGTGTCCTACTTTTGAGTGGATTTATGAGGCATCCTAGAAGGGGAATGTATTGGGAAATCTCTGACACCAATCAGAACCTGGTTAGAGATGCAATCAGAAGGGACAGATTTGAATTGATTTTCTCAAACCTGCACTTTGCAGATAATGGCCACCTAGATCAAAAAGATAAGTTTACAAAGTTGAGACCTCTCATAAAACAAATGAATAAAAATTTCCTCTTGTATGCTCCCCTGGAAGAATACTATTGCTTTGATAAGTCAATGTGTGAATGCTTTGATAGTGACCAATTCCTGAATGGAAAGCCTGTTAGAATTGGATATAAAATTTGGTGTGGTACAACCACACAGGGTTATCTGGTTTGGTTTGAGCCCTATCAAGAACAATCAACTATGAAGGTAGATGAGGATCCTGACCTTGGATTAGGTGGAAATCTAGTAATGAACTTCGCTGATGTTCTTTTAGAGAGAGGTCAGTATCCCTATCACCTGTGTTTTGATAGCTTCTTTACAAGTATCAAATTGTTGTCAGCCTTGAAGAAGAAGGGGGTGAGGGCAACAGGAACAATTCGTGAGAACAGGACCGAAAAATGTCCCCTTATGAATGTAGAACATATGAAAAAAATGAAGAGAGGGTATTTTGATTTCCAAGTAGAAGAAAACAATGAGATAATTTTGTGTCGTTGGTATGGGGATGGCATTATCAGTCTGTGCTCCAATGCTGTGGGCATAGAACCAGTCAATGAGATAAGTTGTCGTGATGCTGATGAAGAAATCCCTCAGATAAGTCAACCATCCATAGTAAAAGTGTATGATGAATGCAAGGAAGGTGTAGCTAAAATGGATCAAATTATTTCAAAGTATAGGGTGAGGATAAGAAGCAAGAAATGGTACTCAATTTTGGTTAGCTACATGATTGATGTAGCCATGAACAATGCATGGCAACTACACAGAGCCTGTAACCCAGGTGCTTCTCTAGACCCCTTGGATTTTCGGAGATTTGTTGCACATTTCTACTTGGAACACAATGCTGATCTGTCAGATTAAGGCACATAAAATGGACATAGTGCAGACATTAATAAGACATAGAAAAATAATAATTGTACATGCTGTTGTACCCTCCCGAAGTAAATCTGATATATGTAATGAAGTTATTAAATAATTAATACTTTTAAAAATCAGACATTTATATAGAGTTTCAAGGACTATTGTAACAATGTTAAAAATTATCTGTGAAAATGTTGAACTGTAGTACCTTTCTCTATGTCAAATTTTGTGTCAGACATGGGAAATCTTTTATTTGTTCAATTGACTATTTTGTGCGTTCATTTAGTTAGTTTTTGAGACACAGTCTCGCTCTGTGGCCAGGCTGGAGTGCAGTGACACGATCTTGGCTCACTGCAACCTCTGACATCCTGGTTCAAGCAATTCTCCTGCCTCAGCCTCCCGAGTAGCTGGGATTACAGGCACGTGCTGCTATGCCCAGCTAACTTTTGTATTTTTAGTAGAGACGGGGTTTCGCCATGTTGGCCAGGATGGTCTCGATCTCCTGACCTCGTGATCTACCCACCTTGGCCTCCCAAAGTGCTGGGATTACAGGCGTGAGCCACCATGCCCGGCTATTTTGTGCATTTAAAGAATGAAATCCTACCTCTTAAAAAAAATTCCCTGAAGATGGCCATTTTTAAGATGCAAGCAATGTCATAGTAACTGTAGAATGATGCTGACTCCATAGTTCAAACTAGTGACACAGCTTATGAAGTAAGAATGGTCTAAACAAAACATAGGTGGTAAGAGACTAAAAACTTTAGCATTGGTGTAAAACTGGATTTGATTTTGTGTAAGTGAGAAGGGTCAGGCATGGATGTTGAAGGAGAATGCTATAAAGGAAAAACCAGAGGTGAAGCAGTGCCTTTGAATATTGAAATGATAGGTGTATCCTGTGGTGACGGTGTGAGTTGGCAGCAGAAGTCAAGAGAGTAAAGAGAATCAAGGAAACATGAAGCAAATCAGGATAATAAGTAACCAGGAGAGTTAAGGAAAAGATAGGCATAAAGTCAACATAAAGACCATGTTGAAATCCCCTGATTAGATGTCTAGGCTTAAGGTCATCAGTGATAGGTAACTGAAGGAGAAACACTTGGAAAAGTGAATGATACGGACTGTGACTCCTTAGTGTTGAAGTCTAGTATTGGTGGATTAGTCTGGAGGGTAGAGAAGACAGGCTCCACCTCATTTCTGTGGGCTCTAGCCACAACAGCTCCTTGCCTTTCTTTCATATCCTAATATTTACAGTCCCTTCCCTGGCTGGAAGGCAAGTGGTCAGGTTTGAATTCTTTCAACAGGTATGTTTATTATGTGGATGACTGGTAAAAGTGTAAGTCATGCGTAATGTCACAGATTCACCTATTCCATGCAAGATGTTCAAAGAAAATATAAGTTCATTACTTCCTGTAATTGATCTGATATTCTTTGTGAAATACATCACCAGGGTGGGTTGGTTTCTACTTTTAAATGATGAAGTGTCTGGTTAAGTACCTACCCACAAAAGGGTATTAATAGAGTGCAGGTTTTAGTTAAATGATGAGTAAGTGGTGCAGATAGTAATTGCTAATATAGGCAGGAAATAGTTACAGAATAACTTCTTATTTCACTTTCATGTCTGCCCTGATGTTTAGAGCCCTCTAGCCATCCCCACTTGGCAGTTGTCAAAGGCTGCACTTTATATCTCCCACATTCTAAATCTGCTTTTCTCTTCTCCAGGGTTCCATAATTATGTAAATAATACCACTGACCACCCAGGTATCAAACAAGACACCTAAATGTTACCTGTCACCCTCTTCTGCCACTCATCTCTAATACCTCTTGAATCTGTTCACACCATTTAACCTCTTTGCCATCATTCAGACCACAGTTCTGTGATGTTGCTTGACTGCTCACCAAACCCTTCCTTGACCCTCCCCCTCCCCAAACCTGTCTCCAAACAATGACTGTGAAAGTTCTGAAGAGCAGATCTGAGCATCAGCTATGCAGAAGATAGAAACAGTATGTTATGAAAAAGCATAAATAGTGGACTGTATGTGGGTCTTGGCACCAGAAAGTCTTTGAATTTCAGCCATGTAACCTTGGGCAGATTAACTTTCTGAGCCTAACCCACACTCTCCATGGTGCTCAATATACCACTCTACAGTTGAGAAGTAAATGTGGAGCCCAAGGAAAATGGGGAGTGATACCCTAAGACTGGAGCAGAACTGGCCTATGCTGTACCCACCAGCACCTGCCCAGGCAGGGAAGTAAGCTGGAAGGAACCTGATTCCCTGAAGACTGGAATAGAGTCTTGAAAATTGCCTACGGCTGAGATTTACATGTGAGGGCAAAAACCTTCTATCTTGGTGAATTCATTGTTACTGGAGGTGGGGTAGGGGTATTTGTTATTCCCAGCTGAACATAATTCTAAGTGATAATCACTGATCCATGTCAGGTCTCCTAGGTTAGATGAAGTTGGATACAGGAGAACAATTTTGGATGACTCCTATTTCACGCTCACATATAAATTGAACAAAAACGTGTAGCATTTGCTACATATGACTGTTCTAAGAGTTTTACAAATATTAAGTTAATACCCCCATTCTATGCATGAGAAAACAAACATAGGTTAAGTGGCATTTTATAAGTCATATAGTTAGTAAGTGGTGTGATCCTTGCAGCCAATATTGAGTGCCGATTTGTTTTATGGTTTTTCCTTCTAGTTTTTATTCCTTTTGTTCTTCTCTCTTTAAAACCCAAAAAAGATCACACTGCAGGAGAGGTCAACACCTTTGTTATTGCGAAAGGGTTAGGAAAAGACATTACAAAGCTTCCTGGAGACCCGTACCAAGAGAATGACTGTCTACCACACAACTGTACTGAACATCTGTGGTACTTCTGCACACACCATGTTCATGGTGCTCCTTGAATACTGTTTCCTTACATGGTAGTTGTTTTTGTTCAGGGCATATCCTTTATTAGACAGCAAACTTACAGGGCATCTCTTTTGCAACCCTCCTGCAACCAAAACAGGACCTGAAATTCAGAAATTCAGGATACTTAGAATACACTGCAATTTGATGGGAAAATTTAGCTATCCAAATACATAGCTTTATCTTTAAAGTGTACTATAGAACAGTGGAATATGAGAGTAACCTTGGAAATAATACAGAATAATTTGGAGTGAGAGATAATGAAGACAAATGGTGACTTTAAAACATTATTAGGTACATTTTTACCTTAGGAGAGGCCCTAGCATCCTTTACTAATCTGGCTGGCTTCAAGGAACTGTTTCCAACTGAGTCATAGGACAGTGACTTTTTAAGGCAGGACAATTCTTGAAGGCAGGACAAACATCATGATTAAGTTCTCCTGTAGTCCTTACATTAAGGTATCTAATTAGGGATTGTCTGATTATTAATAACTGGATACCAAATTAACATCAATCTGACTTGCATTTGTGCCTAAACATTCTGACTTAACCCCCAGGCTCAGACTGAACTTTTTCCTTATTTTAAACTATAAAGTTCATTCTTTTAAGATTTTATGTATTTCAATAGGTGTTTGGGGAAAAGGTAGTGTTTGGTTACATGAATAAGTTCTTTAGTGGTGATTTTTGAGATTTTGGTGCACCCATAACCCGAGCAGTGAACACTGTACCAAATGTGTAGTCTTTTATCCCTCACCCCTGCTCCCATCTTTTCCCCCCAAGTCCCCAAAGTCTATTGTATCATTCCTATACCCCTGCATCCTCATAGCTTAGCTCCCACTTATGAGTGAGAACATATGTTGTTTGGTTTTCCAGTCCTGAGTTACTTCACTTAGAATAATGGTCTCCAATTCCATCCAGGTTGCTGCAAATGCCATAATTTTGTTCCTTTTTAATGGCTGAGTAGTAGTCTATGTTGTATATATGCCACAATTTCTTTATCTACTGTTGATTGATGGGCATTTGGGCTGGTTTCATATTTTTACAATTGTGTATTATGCTGCTATAAACATATGTGTGTAAGTATCTTTTTCATTTAATGATTTATTTTCTTCTGGGTACATACCCAGTATTTGGATTGCTGGATCAAATGGTAGTTCTACTTTTATTTCCTTAAGGAATCTCCACACTGTTTTCCATAGTGGTTGTACTAGTTTACATTCATCCACCAGCAGTGTAAAAGTGTTCCCTTTTCACCACATCCATGCCAACATCTATTATTTTGTTATTATGGCCATTCTTGCAGGAGTAAGTTATTGCACTGTGGTTTTGATTTGCATTTCCCTGATAATGAGTGATGCTGAGCATTTTTTTATGTGTTTGTTGGCCATTTGTATATCTTCTTTTGAGAATTTCCTATTGATGTCCTTAGCCCATTTTTTTTTGATGGGATTGTTTTTTTCTTGCTGATTTGTTTGAGTTCCTTGTAGATTCTGGATATTAGTCCTTTGTCAGATGTATAGATTGTGAAGATTTTCTCCCATGCTTTGGGTTGTCTGTTTACTCTGCTGATTGTTGCTTTTGCTGTGCAGAAACTTTTTGGTTAAAGTCCCATCTATTTATCTTTGTTTCTGTTGCATTTGCTTTGGGGTTCTTGGTCATGAACTCTTTGCCTAAGCCAATGTCTAGAAGGGTTTTTAAAATATTGTCTTCTAGAGTTTTTATGATTTCAGGTCTTAGTTTTAAGTCCTTGATCCGTCTTGAGTTGATTTTTGTATAAGGTTAGAGATGAGGATCCAGTTTCGTTCTTCTACATGTGCCTTGCCAATTATCCCAGCACCATTTTTTGAATAAGATGTCCTTTCCCCACTTTATATTTTTGTTTGCTTTGTTGTAGATCAGTTGGCTGTAAGTATTTGGCTTTATTTCTGGGTTCTCTATTCTGTTCCATTGCTCTATGTGCCTATTTTTATACCAGTACCATGCTGTTTTTGTGACTATGGCCTTATAGTTTGAAGTCAGGTAATGTGATACTTCCAGATTTGTTCTTTTTGCTTAGTCTTGAATTGGCTATGTGAGCTCTTTTTCGGTTTCATAAGAGTTTTAGGATTTTTTTTCTAGTTCTCTGAAGAACGATGGTGGTATTTGCATAAGAACTGCATTGAATTTGTATATTGCTTTTGGCAGTATGGTCATTTTCACAATATTGATGCTACCCAACCATGAGCATGGGATGTCTTTCCATTTGTTTGTGTTGTCTTTGATTTCTTTATTCAGTGTTTTGTGGTTTTCCTTGTAGGGGTCTTTCACCTTGGCTAGATATATTCCTAAGTATTTTATTTTATTTGCAGTTATTG